CCTGCACAGTGAGATCAGAGCAGTGGGGTACAGGGCACTGTTCCCACGAAAACTAAACAAGCCAGGGGCATTTTCCTAGGCTGACAGCTTCCCAGGAAGGAGATCCATTTCTGAAGTTATGGCTGAATTAACCTGGGTGGTTAAGTGAGGAAAAAAAGGGGCGGGGCGGGGCGGGGTGTGCGTGTCATAGCCAGACGGTGGCACATGCCTTTAATCCTAGGAGCCAAGGGCAGGGGGAAATCTCTGTGAGTTTGAGGCCAGCCTGGTCTACAAATCGAGTTCCATGGCAGCCAGCAATGTTACACAGAGAAACTATCTCCAAAAAACTAAAACCAAACCAAACCAAACCAAAAAATCCTAAAATAGGCACAAACACCTTTAAAAACAATATTTCCCCCCTCATTCTGTCTTCTCACTCCAGCTGGTGGTCACCATCTACTGTGTATTCACTGCCTGCCCTGGGCACAGCAGAGTAAAATGCAGTGCCCATGCAGACAAGCTTCGGGGTAACCCTTTTTTTTTTTTTTTTCAGACCAATCTTTATTTTATTTTATTTGCGTCTAATTTTGTAGCTCTGGCTCTCCAGGAACACGTTATGTAGACCAGGCTGGCCTCAAATTCATAGATGCGCCTGCCTGTCTCCCAAGCGCCAGGATTTAAGGCGTGAGTCATCACGCTAGGTTATTTCCACTTTCATCCATCAACCCACTCTGCGTCAAATTTAGTCCAGACTTGCTTCTCACTCTCCATGTAGTGGAGAATGACTTTGGACTTCTAACATCCTGCTTCCACCTCTCCAAGTGCTGGGAATCACGGGTGTGCGCAACTAGTTTTGTTGAGGATCTATTGCAGGTCTTGCCTCCAGCCCCACTCTATTTTCATGATCTTTCCCTACATACAGAGATAAATCCCATGCTTTCCCCTTTCTCCATCTCATTCATTCTCGTTGGTACTCTAAAAGGCAAGTCTGGGCTCAAAAGTCGAGTCTGAATATCGGGTATACTCCAGGAAGCCAGCGTACACGTTCCCTCCGGAATAAGTAAACAGGAAACTATCGATCCCATGCAGGAAATGACCTTGTGTGAGGGCAAAGTAGGTGCACGGGTTTCCCTCGCTTTCCCTGAGTTCCCTTCCTAACTCATTTCCGGGTGTCAAACCACTTGGTCCTTCCCTACAAAAACAGCGTCGGCTGGCTCTGCCGAGTCCACCCTAGAATTCCTCCCTGAGAGCCCGGCCAATAGGCCCGTACCTTCAGTAGACATTTTTATGCCCTGTTTTACATCACTGCAAACCCCCACCAATCAGTAGCTGGGGAGGGAGGTACCAAAATAATCTTCACTTCCTCCCCCAAATGGCCACCCTTTACCTGCGTCATCCCGTGATGGACTTCCGACATGGCCAATCCTCGAGCACCCCGGGGTCCAGCCCATCCTCCACCCCACCAATCAGGACGAAGGCGAAGCACGGACCTCTTGCCCCTCTTTTGGAAATTCCTTGACGCGGTGCGTCTGGGACCAGGAAAGTTACAACTTTCTACGGTCCGTGCTGCCCGCCCACGGGTGCAGCTCCGCTGCAGTTCGGCTCCCTGGCGCCCACCCAGGATGGCCCCGCGGTCCCCCGCCCCAGCCCGCCTTGCAGTGGCTCGTGGGCCCGTCCCCGAGCCCGCTCCGCTCCCAGCCCCGGGCGTGCGGCCCGCAGCCGGGGGCGCGGATCTTTCCATTCGCCGCGGCTCTCCTCCCTCCTCGCCTTCGCGTTCCGGGCCGGGCTGACACCGGGGTGGGTGGAGCCGAGAGCTTGCTGGCGGGGAGAGGCGGGCGCCTCTTAAGGTGGAACAGACGCGTGGCTGGGCCTCCCTGGCCGTGCCGCTCCCGCCTCCAGCCTCGCTCCACCCGCTTGCTCACGTCTCCCGCTACGAGCCTGGCTTCTCCACGTAGTTTAGAGAATTAGCCAGGATATAAAATGAATGTATAAACTGAAAAAGAAAAAAGGCATGAAAAGGAGCTGTAAACTACGCAGAGAACTTTTTATCATTTAATCACTCGTGTTCTTTTTTTTCCCAGGGACTACAGCTTTAAGTGGCAGTTTTTTTTTCTTGCTTTTTGATGTGCAAATGGGAACTCAAATTTTGTCTGATGGGCATATAGATGAATCATTTGTTTTTGTTCTATTCCCCCCCCTCACCCCTCCACCCCCCGCCCCGGATGACAGTCTCCAAAGGAAGCAGGAACCCGGAGTCTGGTGGCTGCAGCCTACCCCTTGTGGTTGACCAAGGGTTCCTAGAGGGAGCTTAAGAGCGGAGGTGGTAATTTCTCAAAGACTTTTGTAAAATGGATGAAAATTTGCTGCTTTCTGCATTTGGTTTATTAAAAGATGTGTAAATGAAAGGTGCAGATATTAGGCGACAGTATATCCACAAAACATGATAGTAAACACCTTATGTTTAGCATTTCTTTGTAGTATTTTTTAAAGCTTTGTTGTAAAATTTCAAAACACAAAAGTAGAGAGGGTGAATTCTTTTTAAGATTTTATTTTTATTAATATTTATTTTTGTGTATGTGTATATATTCGTATTACATGCATACAGGAGCCAGCAGAGGTCAGAAGAGGGAGTTAGGAACCCTGGAACCAGGAGACACAGGCAGTTGTAGAATGGATGTCAATGCTGGAACCCAGTGGGGTCCTCTGAAGGAGCAACAAAAGCTCTTAACGGCTGAGCCAGCTCCACAGCCCTAACTTTATTTATTTATTTTGGTTTTTCGAGACAGGATTTCTCTGTAGCTTTGCGCCTTTTCTGGATCTCTCTTTGTAGACTGGGCTGGCCTCGAACTCACAAAGATCCGTCTGCCTCTGCCTCCCGAGTGCTGGGATTAAAGGCGTGCGCCACTGCTGCCAACGCCGACGCCCAGCTTATTTTTAGTTGTTAATGTGTGTGCACACGACGGGGGGTAGGTACACGTGTGACTGTAAGGCCCCCACAACACCAAGAGGAAGTCCAGAGCTCCTAGAGCTAAGTTGTAGCTGATTGTGCGAGGCTGGACTTGGGTGCTGAGAACCCAATTTGGGTCCTCTGCAAGAGCCGTACTCACTCTTAAATATCTCTCCAGCCTGAAAATTATCTATCTATCTATCTATCTATCTATCTATCTATCTATCTATCTATCTATCTATCTATCTATCTACCTACCTATCTATCTAGCTATATAGTTTTTTCACGAAAGGATTTCTCTGTGTAACCTTGTCCTGGAATTCACTATTTTTAAATGTAATAAGCAATATTTGGCCAATGTTTTATCATCTATACATGTCTCCTTGATCACGATTATTTTGAGACAAATTTCAAGCATTTCAGGCCTAAGTACTCCAATACACATTTAAAAAAAAATCCTTTAAAGATAATGGAATTCCATTAATACACATCATTTCCCCCCTCCCTTTCCTCCCTTCTAAGGCTCCCATGTGCAATCCTCCTCCCCAGCTCTTTTAAATTTATGACCTCTTCTTTGTTGTTACACACACACACACACACACACACACACACACACACACACACACACATTCCTAAATATGACATGGTCCGTAAACGGTCACTTGCATGTACGAGATTTCGGGGCTGATCATTTGGTATTGGATAAGCAGTCCCTGGGCTCTTCCTGGGGAAGACCACCACCCTCAGCATTCCCTTGTGGCTTACAGTTCTTTGTCCACGGCTGAGGTCACTGAGCTTTGCCCCTTCCACACTGGCGCTTGGTGTCATCTTTGTTCAAACACATACTTTTATTTATTTAAGATTTATTTATGTATGTATTTTAAGTATGTCAGTGCTCTGCTTGCATGTATGCCCGCATGTCAGAAGAGGGCACCGAATCCCATTACAGATGGTTGTGAGCCACCAAGTGGTTGCTGGGAATTGAACTCAGTCAGGATCTCTAGAACCTGATTTCTTAACCGCTGAGCCGTCTCTCCAGCCCCAGGCACATATTTTTTTAAAACACACTATTTGATCACATTAGGCAAACTATTATAACATAATTTTATTTAAAAGAAAAATGAACCGGGCAGTGGTGGTGCATGTCTTTAATCCCAGCACTCAGGAGGCAAAGGCAGGCGGATCTCTGTGAGTTCAAGGCCTGCCTGGTCTACAGAGTGAGTTCCAGAAAAAAAAACTAAAAAAACAAAAAAACAAACAAACAAAAACAACAACAACAAAAAAAAGTTTATGTGTGTGTGTGTGTGTGCCTGAGCACGTAAGGGCCTGAGGAAAGAAGAGTGTGGGGTCTCCCAGAACTGGGGTTACAGAGTGTTGTGAGCTGCCACGTGGGTGCTGGGAACCGAACCCAGGTCCTCTGCAAGACAAATGTTCTTAACTGCTGAGCCATCTCTCTGATTCTTGAAATGTAATTTTCTTATTCAAATACAGACATATAAAAATGATTGGCTAAAGTTATCAAAGCCATGGCAAAAAGGTATATAGAT